TTAAACCATAAAATAATTATGCTTTGTTTTCCCATTTTGGTTGTGGGTACTTATATATGTTTACAAATAATAAAAAAAATAATGCATAAAATTAACTAACAGTTGTGATTATGTTTATAGCTGGTGAACCATGGAGTTGACTCTTCATTAGTGGAAAAACTGAAATATGAGATTCAAGAATTCTACAAGCTCCCTATGGAAGAGAAAATGAAATACAAGATGAGGCCTGGTGATGTTGAAGGGTATGGACAAACCCTTGTCTTCTCTGAAGCTCAAAAGGTTGACTGGGTAGATAGATTTTATATGATAACTAACCCCAACCATAGAAGAAAGTCACACCTCTTGCCAGAGCTTCCTTCATCACTTAGGTGCTCTCTCTCTCTCTCTCTCTCTCACACACACACACACACACACACGCAGTATATATTTGTATTTATGCATTACTAGCTATATGTAAGTATGCATGCATGCATTTATGCATATATTTTATGTATTTATGCGTGTATACTTTACATGTATGTATGTATATTTCATCTATATCACTGCAAGAATACCTTGGAATCTTACTTCTCTGAGTTGCAAAAAGTTGTCAAAACACTTCTAGGGCTGATGGCAAAGGCTCTAAAGATTGATGAGGAAGAGGTAGAAGAGATGTTTGAAGATGGGATGCAATCAGTGAGGATGACTTACTATCCGCCATGTCCAAAACCAGAGCTAGTTGTTGGACTTACGCCGCACTCGGACGCTTCTGGCATCACCATCCTTCTCCAAGTCAATGGAGTAGAAGGACTCCAAGTTAAAAAAGATGGAGTTTGGATCCCTACAAACTTCCTTCCTGGTGCCTTTGTGGTGAATGTAGGAGACATGTTAGAGGTGACTAGATAGTCTAGATTCCTCAACCCTCCCCAATATTCTTTTATCCACAAACAATATAAAATAAATTAAAGTAATCTGGTGATATAATGAATTTGGTCTGCATTTCAGAAACCAAACCTTACTTAACTGTCATTTTCAAAATCATTTTTTTCTTTTTCTTTTTCATTTTTTTTTGGTTTCAATGTCAATCTAAAATTTACATAGGTACCTTTTTATAAGGTTGCCCTTTTGTCACGGGTTCAAAATGAAAAATAATCTTATGAAGTTAAGATTGTATATCTAATCCGTCCTAGACCATACCCTAGAATGGTAGGAGTTCTGAATTTTCCTTTTTATTTTTCCACTGTTTAGATTATTACAATTCTACTATCATAATGGCATGTCTCGGTGACCTCATCATAATCTTGGCCCTTTCGTGACTTCCATGATTTATCCAGCATCAAACACTTCAATTCCATGCAGCCAAACACCTGTAGAAAACAATACTAATTATCTTCGTGGTGGAAACAAAAAATTTACTACATATTTATTTCCTATATAATGTAGGAAAAAATTGTGTTATTACAAAATCTATGACCAAATTAAAATATTTATTGTCTTAGCCTTCTCAATTTCTTTCTATTTATTGTGTACATGTACAGATTTTGAGCAATGGTGTCTACCGTAGCATTGAGCACAAGGTGATAGTAAATCCAATGAAAGAGAGGATTTCTATTGCCATGTTCTTCAATCCCAAGTTCCAAGCAGAGATTGGACCTGCAACTCGTATTATAAACCCAGAAAACCCACCATTGTTCAAAAGGGTAGAGATGGAGAACTGTGTCAAAGATTTTTTCTCCCGTAAGCTCAGTGGAAAGTCATTCTTGGAGCGAATGCGAACTGAAAATGGAGAAAACCACACTACTTGACGGTGATAAAATGGTGCAATAAATCGAGGTTTGGAGTTGCATTTAAAAAATTGTGTCTTGCTTATATATGTAGTGTTGTACTAATGTCTGTCCCAGTCCAACCACATATCTGGTGGGATAATGTTGTTATAAATAAATGATGTGGTGTATAATTATGGTTTGGAGTTGAATATGATATATGATATGTCTTGTATATAAGTCCCACCACATTGCAGGTGGGATAATGTTGTTATGAATAAAATGGTGTGATGTATATTATGATTTGTAGTTAAATCTTCTGAGTGGTATGTCTTTGTATATATATATAATGTTATACTACCTTCGCCTCAAATTAAATGTCCTATCTTGAGAACCGTGACTCACATTTTTATAATGTTATGTTACCTCCGTCTCAAATTAAGTGTCCTATTTTGAGAACCGTTGTGACTTACAGTTCCCAAAATAGGACACTTAATGTGTGAGCCGCTGTTTTTAAAATAAGAGATTTAATTTTGGACGAATGTGAGTTACGGTTTTCAAAATAGGACACTTAATTTGAGACAAAAGGAGTATTAGTCTCTTTCTCTCTATATATATATATATATATATATATATATATAGTGTTGTACTAATGTTTGTCCCAGGCCTACCACATTGTTAGAGGGATAATTCTGTTTTGCCCATCCCTTGATACAATCAAAGTTTGCCTCTATTTGGATCAGCTTTATTATGACTCAAAATTATGTCATCCCTTAATAAAGAATATGTTAAAATATTATGACTCAAAATTATGTCATCCATTTGGATCAGCTTTATTATTCGTGGTCATCAAGTTTGGGCATGCAGCTTGTTGATCACTTAGTTTTTAAAAATTGTGCGATCAATTTCACTTTGTCAAAGTTGTCCCATTTTTCTTAATTCCTTGGTGCACAAGAATATTTGTATCAACCCACTACGTCAGCAATTGTCTCACATATACAGTCAAATGATTTTGGCTTGAAGCACAAGATTTAGTCTTGCCGTGTGGGACCATCAACAATGTGTGATCAAGAAGATTTGCAGTGCTAGTAATGTCCATGCGCGATCAGTAAGAACATTTTCACCATAAATAGCCTTGTACCTTATGTTGTAATGTATCCAAGATCATTAATGAGCACTTTGTAATATCAATTAGAGTGAGAAAGCTTGTGGGTGTAATGAAATTTTGGATGTGAGTCATTTTGCCTTGTATCTCTTTATTTTCATAGTGAAATATTATTCTGTCTTCTCTCCATGGACGTAGGCATAACCGAACCACCTAAATTCTTGTCTCGTTTGTGTGTTTGCCATTTTATTTTTTGTTGTCATTATTTTTCTCTTGTTCTCATAAATTCCTATTCGATCCTTATTTCATAACAAAATAATAATTGTCAATGACACTGGTTTTCTGTTGGGTGTTTATATATGATACTTCTAAGGCTTTAAATATCCATACTAAAGACCTTCACTTTAATTTGGTGATCAGGTTAACAAAGGAACCAATAAATTGCAGTATGAATTGAAAGTGAACATGATGCAAATTAGAGAACTTTATGGGGTACTAATTTGATCCATTGGTATCGAAGTAGGCAGGGTAATATGTAACTGAATCAACACATTAAAATTGGAATTAGAGAAAATTTAATTCAAAATTTGAACTAAATTTCCTCCGATTTCAATTTCAAGATGCTGATTCGATATTCCCACACACAACATAAAAACCATAGCAAACAACTGAGAGATTGAAGTTTGAGCTCATGATCACCTTAAGACTGTTTGATTGGATGATAATGTTAAGGAACAATTGAATTACTTCATCAATATTAATTTACAAATTCTATATTTAAGTCAAAATTATTTCAAAAACTAATTCACAAAAAGACCAAGCTCTGATGTTAACAAAATCCTTCTCATTTTATTTTGTTATCTAAAATGAAATTTCTATTTTACACAGAGTCAAGATTGCATATAGAAATGGGGTTAAGATTTTTTGCATACTAGATTAGGATCGTGAAATAAATTGAAAGAAGATTTCTATAATTTTCACTTCTTGCTACAACATTAGACTTCTATAATTTTCACCACCACTTCTTTGTAAAAACATTGTTAAAAGTTCATTATATCAGATTCTAGATTTTTTCAATTTTTGCAAGCCATCTGCTCAAAAGCTCGATTAAGTAATTGTCGAGTCTCATGCCAGAATAAGTATTTTATGATTCTAACTTAGGTTATAACCCTATAGACTCACATTACTTGATTGCTTGTCCTCTTATAATAATCCACCCCATTGTATAGATATTGTAACACTTGTACGTGTCAACAACTTCTTCTCAGGTTATGTACCATCACACTTTCTTTCCTCGAACTGAAATATCATCATTCATATTTCTCCTTCTTTGAGGAGGATTGTTCCTTTCCTACATATGTTTTTCTATCACTGAAGTCATTTATGATCCTGCAAAATGTTATTCCTACCTTCACTAACCTATAAAGGAAAGGACTTATTTTGTGCTCAGTTTGCCATAACTATCTTAAGGATGGAAATGATCACGACTATTTGTTTTTGTAGATGTCTCTTCCTCCACTTTCTTCCTCCTTCTGGGATGTTAATTGCTTCACTTCATTGAGAGGGTCTTCACTTAAGACCAGGTTCATCAGATGTGCTTTTGTTGCAATCTTATAGGCTATTTGGTTTCATTTTTGGTCTCACTCACTCCATTCAAGCTATTCAAAAGGTTTCTGATAACCATCATTGAACTTAAGCTTTCCTTTTCTATTTCTGGTGCTCATTTTTCTCAGACCAAAAACCACAAATGTTAATGTTTTTTTATCAGAAGATAGTGTAAAAGCAAAACAGTAACCAACTGCCTCATAAAGATCCATTAATTTCACACTTTAATGTTTTTTATCATAAGATAGGGTAGAAGCAAAACAATTACCAAATGCCTCAGAAATATCCATTAATTTCATACTTTGATGTGGTAAACCCAAGTAGGTTCTCCCAAAACAGGGTCTTGAAGCCAACCACACCTTAAAAAATATGGATTACTCATCACTGAAATCTAGCACTCACATTAAAGAAACATGGCCTTTACAAAAAAAAAAAAAAAATGTATATATATTTATATATATATATAAACACAAACAACAACATATCTATGTACATATGCAGACACAAACACATGTAATTAGACATTGAATTGAAAATTTAGAAAAGTAAAATGGCTCAGAGAAAAACGGGTTTTTCTATCAAGAATTTTTTAAAGCAGAACTAGCATTTTAGATGTGCAGACATCACTGCCACTACTGAAAATTAAATACAATAATTAAATTTATGTCATTAAAAACTGGTCATGACAAATACCGTCGCATGTATAAAAGTTGGCTAATATCAAGAAATTCAATCAAAGATTGTAGAAAGGGTGAGATTGACATTGAGCTACAATTAAATAAAGTAGAATGTTATAATGGTTTAGATTAAACAAGGTACATGGCCATTCAACTAGGAACTGAGCAAGAGGCAAAGTCCTAGCAGAAATAAAAATAAGAACACCTCCTGGCCAAAGCAACATCAAAAAATTGCATTGTAGTTGCAATACAAAGTTACAAACTATCAACTTAGTGCTCTACAAAATTACAAAACTTAAGTCCATACACATAGAGGCAAGCTTTAGCCTCTGCAGCGGTATACATCAAACTTCAATATGTGGCATTTTTTTTCTTTTACAGTAGTAAAGAATGGTTTTATTACAGCATACAACATCAAATTCTCTACGGTAGCTATTTTGGTTTGAAACTTATGCCAGGATTTCTCCCTCTTCTCAATCAATCACCTCCTCGTCCTCGTAGAAATCATCTTTCTTCATACACATACCGAACTCCTCCAATGGTTTAGTTGATCCAAATACACTTGGATTCTCAAGGTATTTGACAATATACAGATTGTCCTCAAACTCGACAGTCTTCTCCATCTGAAATGAGGAAGGGAAAGATGAGTAACTTTATTTTTATGAAGCTCAAAACCAGATTCAGAGGTGTACACAAGGAAGGAAAAAAATTGAACAAAATAAGACACACAAACCCTCTGTATAGAAAATCGGGCAGCTTCTCTATTTTTCTCCCGCTGCATTTGCTATGCTTCTGCTCTCATTTGTGAAGCATCTTCATCAACTTTGATTCGGGCTTCAATTTTGCCCTTATATGTAAACAATTAATAACCAATTCAAATATATGCTAGAAACATTCTGAAACTTTGTTTCAGTTAGAGGAAGAGAAAATTAACCTATTGTGACTGGTTCTTTGTGAGAGGTCGCTTCACAAGGTCAATATGAATGTGGTTTTGGAAGTTATGAAAAGTTAATTTTACATTTATGAAACCACTACTACTATGTAGCATAGCGAGTAGGGATCGTCCATTTGATTACAAGAAGGCTTAACTTTCAAAACCTTTTTCAAAGATTAACTTTTCATTTGAAAATCATTTTCCCCTTTTTCTCACCCAATGCCAATGCATGAATGCTTCATGAATTCAACGTCATGCCAATTCATAAGTACTCGAATGTTGCACATTTTAGCACCTAAGTTAGGGTATTTTAATCCATTCATCTATCTTTATTTTCTTGTTTTAGTACTAATTTATGTTTTTGTCTATTTTAGGTCAATAAGGTTCAAATGGGCTAAAAATGGTCTATTACAGCCTTTTTGGAGTCAAGCATAGAGTTCCAAAAAGTTTCAAAAAAATGCAGAATTTCGCCACCAGGGATTTGGATCGATCGAGAATACGCTGGCAGCGAGCTGTTTTATTCCCGCACGCCCGAACTCCACCTACCACATGGCTGTAGGATTAGATATTTTAAATGCTTATTTTCTGACTTCTTCACTACTCCGAGAAGCTTGTATAAAAGGGAATTGAACCATTTGTAAAGGGTCTTGAATTATTATTTTATTTTTACATTGTAATAGTTAGTTTCTCTCTCTAGAAAAGTTAGAGATTAGGGTTAGAAGAAAAGAGGAGAGTGGAGGTACCAAGAACACATCTCAAGATTTACACACACACTCTCTCTAGAATTCAACAAAGAAGAAGAGTAAGAAGATGAAGCCATGTTTGGGGATTGCCCTTGAAGGTTCCAAGATCTCACCCACCTCCTCCATGATTGGCTAGACTTCTCCATGGGGCTTGGATGAGCCCCAAGTTTGTAATATAAACCTCTATCTCTTTTATACTTTTTGGAGAATAATATCTTGTGATTAGTGTTTTAGCCTTGTGTATAAAATGAATCTTGGGTTCTCCTTTGATTTCTATGGTTTAATTCTTCCTATTGATTCTCTTTGTGATTATATGTTGTCTTATGTGTGATTATTTGGGAATTGATCTCCACACTAGTTTCTCTATATTTGTTGCATATCCATGTGTGATGAATTAATGATCTAGTGATGGCTAGGCATGGTTTTCATTAGATGGGTTTGTCAATTAATTTGATGGATTATGCTTATGCTTGATGGGTTGTTCTATAATTTAATTCATGCTTGTAGTTAGGTAGATAATCTATGCTTGATTTGATATTCCATGGCTTATTATTGCAAATTCCATGATTCTCTAGATTGATGTGTGTTACCATTGTTACTAATTAGATTAGTCATGCTTAGAATTGATGGGTTGTGCTATACTTAGTTTATTTGTCGGTTAGGTGGACAATTCATTCTTGGATTTGATGGTCCATGCTTAATATAGCAATTGGTAGTCACATTTTGTTCACAAGAATGTTTTCCCCAATTAGTTGAAGTGTGTGGTTTGGTGAACAAGCTTGGTGGCGATTCCAACGCCCTAAGCCTCTCTTCTCATCTCTTAAATCCCTATCTCAACTTAGTTTACTTTAATCGCATTTTAATTTAATTAAATTTAGTGTAATCAAACAATCAACCCTCCTTTGCAATCATTCGATATATTAGAGTAGAAATTAAATTCCAACACGTATAATCTCTTGGGACGATCCCTTCTCACTCATACTACATAGTATATGTGTTAAGCGGTTCATAAATTAAAAGTATGATGCCCACTTGACACTAATTTCCAAACTCAAAGTGTTGTGCATTATTTGGTGCACACACTTGGGTCACATCATAATTTTGGCGCCGTTGCCGGGGATTAACAGTTTTGTTGGAATTAAACTAGACAATAATGTTCATTTGATTGCTTCTATTTTTATTTTATTTTCCATTGTATAATCTTTTCTCAGTCTTGATATTATTTGTTCAATTAGGTACTTGACTACAAGGAAGACAAACATTGGATCTTAAAGCAATCATTAAAGCTTAAAGCTAGTATTGGAATTTGAAGTTGCTTAAGGACCTTTGTGAGCACTTCTTGGAACTCTTGTATTTTAAATGTGCACTTCTTTGCATGCTTGTGATAGCCCTTATTGGGGCTAATTAAATTGCTTTATCTTTGTCCAAGCATCGGCCCGTGTGGAGGCCAAATTTTTTTGTTGCATTTGGATTTTGAATGTGGATGAAGCCATTGTTTGATTAAAGTTTGGGGAAAAATAACATCCCTTCACCTTATGCCCCTCCATCATATTTTAATCTTTATGAGATTGAGTCCAATGTTCAACATGTATCATTTTATTATGGACTTGATCACTCTTTTAATCCTTCTTATAACTATTATCCTCCCCCACCATTTTATGAAGAACCACCTTTATCACCTTATTCACCCGAGTTTCAAGAAAAAGTATTAGTTTTATTTGATGTGCATATTTCAAAAACTTAACTTATTAATTCTCATTCTCAAACTTTAGGCAAGTTAGAAGCTCAAGTTGAACAAATTGCAAGTATTCTTTCTCATCAAGAGGAGGAGGAAGAGGCAAATGAACAAATGGCAAGAACTTCAATTTATATAGATGAGGATGAGGAGACTGAGGATGTAATGACCCGGTCATTTTCCTTCCTTTCCTTTTCTCAGATTTTTACGGATAAATTTTTTCCGTTGATTTTTCCTTTCTGAGTACGGTTACTCATCACTTAGTGTCATCTCGAGCCCTCGGAAATGGTTTCCGAGACTCTATCCCTTGAATTGACAAATTTCTTAAAGGACCACATTTGTAATGACCCAGTCATTTTCCTTCCGTTCCTTTTTCCTAAAATTTTACGGATAATTTTTTTTTATTTAATTTTCCTTTCTGAGCTCTGTTTCTCGTCGCTTAGTGTCATCTCGAGTGCTTGGAATTGGTTTCCGAGACTCTTCCGTTTGGATTGACAACTTCTTTTGAGGACCGAGTCATTTCCATATTTTCACTTTTCGGACACTATTCACTTTTTGTCCTTTTCCCTATTTCGTCCTTTTCCCTATTCTGTCTCTTCCCCATTTGTCAGTTTTTGGCACAACCTCACTTTTCGTGCTCGGAGTTGGTTTTTGACTTCACGTGTCTTCATCTTCAGTGGTTTTCTCGAAATACGTATCTTTACTTTTGCAAGAAAGTACTCTGGTTGCTCCCGGTGTCTATAGGGGTATGAATGCACAATTCTTCAGAATCTTTTTCTTTTCTTGGGGTGTTTTTCGTAAATATCTTTTGAAGATATTTTATTTCAAGGGCATCTAAGAAAATATCTTTTGGAAGATATTTTCATTCTAGGGCAATTTCGTAGTTAACCCTTTTTGTAGGGGCCATTGTGCAATTAACGAAAGTTATTGCAAAAATACCTCGTCTGGAGCTTAGATCCTCGTACGGGATTCATTTTCACATTTCGTCGAGTCGTGTACTCTTAGAATTCCATTCTGATCGTTTTTCTCCAGTTTCAGAGTTTCTGGACCCGATTGCCGCCGAACATGTTCGGGACATATCTCTCTGCTCGGGACTCGATTTTCGACGCCGTTTCTTCCGTTGTTCATATTTTCTCATTTTGAATCTTCTGTTCACAGAGTTTTGCCGTTTGAGCGCGTTTGCTCAAATTTCACTTTTCCGGACCCGGTGGGGCCCTTTCAAGGCACTTTTTGAGATTTCTATAAATAAGTTGCCCTAATTTTTAAAATCAGATTTTCAAACCTTCTTCCTCTTCTTGGCCTACAGCCATGGGAGCCCAAGGGGCTGCCTTCACTCTTTCTTCTCCTCCACTTGATTTCTTTAGTGAAAACCCTTCGGCCTTAACATTTATTGTTCGCCTTGACGCCGCGCACCTTTCCCCCTTATTAGAACCCATTTTTGACCAAATTTTCAGTTCGGGTTTGAAGTCAAGTTGTGATTTTCATGGGCTTCTTGGATATTCTTGTTCATCGTGTTGTCCCCGACAAAACCCTTCGGTATCGTCGG